AAAAAAAAAAAAAAAAGATGGCGATGTATCTTTCCATGTTGTAACGAAGGATTCAGTCTCATTTTGCACGGTCGGAGAGTAGCTCCGCAACAAAAGCCCCCGGTGCGCGCACGACAGGGATAAAAAATCGCGTTTAATTTTCTCTTCCGTCGAACTCCCAATTTTAATGAACAGTCAGATAACCGGTTCCCAACTTTCCTGTACTGGAAACCGGGCTGCGCCCGCATTTCGTCCAAAGCCCGCATTTTGTCCAAAGACCGCACCGCCGTCCCCGCGGCCGCCGCCACGTTGGCTCACAGAACGACCGGTCGGTGTCGTGTTAGCGAGCGTGACGCCCTATATACCCACTTACACCTATTTTTTAGGCCTAGTTGCACGACTCTGCACGACTTGCCATCGGACAACATTGTGAATGCAGCTGGACAATGTAGCTGTCTCGGTGCACTCTAAATGACGACAGACATTCCCAAAAAGGAAAAGCAGCCACTACACGACAAAACGCATCCATGTATATGCAGCCATCCGGGCTGCGAACATGCATCCACATGACGTGGCTGAGCGGACAAAGAGCTCCGCCACAGAAAGGACATAAACAGAGGCCGGGGACCTCACAAGTCAACCCGGATTGCTGGAAAACAGGTCCAGCGTCCTATCTTGGGTATAGGATTGGAAAGCAGGTCCGGTGTCCTCAGAAGAAAAGATAGAAAACAGGCTGGATTCCAGTTCCAGCGTCCTTTCCAGAAAAGCACTTCCAGTAATACAAGCATGCTATCAGACTAGACACCATGTCAGAGTGGGTCAAAATCAAGAAGCAAAGAGGCTCGACATATAATCTCCCAAGATCCTCTTCCAATCGAAGCGGGCTTCTCTACATTCTTGGGCTTACTTCGATGACAGGGACAAGCTCAGGTACCTAGGAGCTCTTGTGGAACCACCCTCTCACAGACCTAGGTATTATTGATTCAGCCGGCAGCCTATCCGGCTGAATGGTTGATAGGTAGGCCTTGCTGGAGCGGGGGAGCGGCTCATATAGGTTGGGTCAGCTACATTGAGATGGTTAGTTGGATATGAAAGTTTATACTGTGCCTCTTCATGGTCTGTCGGGTCCCTACGGGTCTCGTTAAAAGCGAAGCTGGGTAATGCTCCCAGAAGAGTTCTTGTTTCCGGGTAGACTGTGAGGACCCCGGCCTCAGATTTTCAG